GCGGTTCGGTTCTCAGGCGGATAACGTAATCCTCGCCAGCGTGGTCAGCCCAGGACAAAGCCTGGAATATAAAAAAAACAGTGTCCAAAATGTTTCAACTGAGACAGATCGCTTTTGTCAACTCTGAGCTTATCCCCCGAAACGTTTTGACACTTGACTTCCTCCTAACAGCTCAGCCAATCGGGTGCCGTCTAGACGTGATTGCTGTCGACATCAACCAATCAGTTGCGTCGTGAAATCCCCAAAGCTCTTCGACGGCCAATTAAATATGCAGAGGGCGTGGAGCTGGGGTGTGTGTGTTTTTTGCTCTTCTTTTCTCGGGGTGTGTGAGGCTGTGTCTTGGAAAGCAACTAAGTTTAACATTGCCAGGATTTATTTAGGCATCTGTATAATATATATTATCACTATTTCCGGCTAACTATCCTCGTGAAGGTGGTTACTGGCTCTAGTCATTTCCATTCAGCCCTGAGCGCGTTCATGTCTGGGGCGGGGCTTGGGGAAAGCACAGCCAATCATAGGCGAGATGCTCAGACAGAATGAAACTAGTGATCCGCATCATGAATTTAGGTCGATGAAGAGGCAAAAGTTAGAGGAGTCACCGTGGGAAATTAAATTGATTCCAGCTCTCTCCACACAAGCATTCATTTATTAAAAAGAAAATAAAAACAAGCGATATGCGAGTTAACTTAATGATATAAACAACTGACAAAATGGGCTATTTTAAAGTAAGGTTATAGCTTCTGTATGTGAAACATAGATTAATAGCATATAGACGTGGTCCAGTGGATAAAAAATATATATAATCCCTAAACACAGACATAGAAACTAAAACGTATTTTTCCATTTGTAATGTTTTTAAGTTATTTATTTATTTTGTTTTGTTTTCTTTTAGTTATTTATTTTATTTTATTCATTTTATTTTGTTTTATTTTTATTCTTATTTATTTTGTTTTGTTTTATTATAGTTATTTATTTCATTTTATTTTATCTTATTTTATTTATTTATTTAGTTATTTATTTTGGATGGGTTACAGCCCAGTTACCACATGTACACAATTACACATATGTGAATTCATTATTGATGTGTGCAGTGTGTTTCATATGACATGATCTGTCATCTGTCAGGCTTATATACATTAATGAGGCTAAAAATATATATATCATTTCAGCCAATAGACTACCAACCACTTGTGAGTTTTTAGTTATAGATGGCAACTATTTTGTCCTCTGAGGTGTTTACATTGTTATTATTTGGCTACAACTTATTGGTCTTGTATGTGAAGTCTTCTTTTCACAGTTGGTCACAGAGGATGTTCTCTTGCGCAATTTTTGTTAATTTAGGCTATTAAAGATAGTTTCATATAGTTTTTGCAATCCGTAGGCTTTTTAATGTGATGGGGCCTTTTTGATATTCATCATCAGGCATTCACAGCTCGTTAACATGTCGAGAGACAAGTGAGTGTAATATAGTTCACTTTCATGAGCAACACTGGTCCTATACTGCCCCCTATAGACGCTTGCTTTACTAAACACAGCTTGCGTTGTCAAACCAGTTCACAAGAGCGCCGCTAGATGTCACTACATATGCATGATGTCTTTAGCTATTGTACCAGCTCAGCTGGGGCCTGACGGCTGATGGCACATGTCCAGTGACTGAAGGATCAAAAGTCACATGAACACAAAGCGCAGTAACACGCTGTGAACTGCTTTATAGATGAAGCAGTGTCAAACAACTCTGACTGCAGCCTGCGCCTTGGTCTCCTTTTGACACTAGCATCAGCGAGCAAGCACACACATTCAATCTGTCACACCAAAATCACTAACACATCCTCTGCTCTGCACATAACGCCAGAACACTTATTAAGAATGACAGAGAAATTATTTTTAAAAAGGGCAATGCATCTCAGTTCACTCTTGAACTTCATACTACACCTATAAGGCACATCCTGGTTCAAATGTCCACAGGCATACACCATGGCTGTGTCGCATAACGGGACTTTTAAATCAATGTGAAGAGCAGATGGTTATATTATATAACATTATTGCTCCTAAGTAGAGCTGAAAAAAGGGGAGGGCTGGAGATTTCCCAAGCCACTCTTGATACAATCATTCACTCTGTGCAAATGCTTTGCTCTGAATGTTTCTTTCTGCTCACACAAATAGCCACGTTTATTACTGACATTTGTACAAATACCAGTGAATATCAGTTAGCCAGCCCAAAAAATCAAGTTAAATATGTTTTTTTTGTGTGCCTGGATTATGATTTTGATAGCAGTGATGGAATGTGACAAAGTTCATTTACCCAAGTACTTTGTTTTAGTACAAATTTGAGGTGCTGTATTTACTTGAGTGTTTTCCTTTCGGAATGGTGCACCTATACAGTGTGGTATTTTAATTTTTACTTCAGTAATAATCTGAATATTTCTTCCACCACTGTTTAATAGAGCCCTATACAGTATTACACTGAATATTTGAACAATGCTTTGCCAGACTATTTCCTTGTTTTTAAAATGTCTTCAAAAGATTTAATCAGAAGAGATTTCACGTTTTGGTGCCAAGCACACACATCTGTCCATACCATTACCAGTTTCCTGGTATTCTTTGACATGAATGCACGTACATGTGTGAGTGCGTATTTGCCTTTGTGTTTGTGGGATATGGTGTGGATTCCCAGAAAGTGAACACACAATGAGTTTCAAAAGGAAGCTTGGTTCCAGAAACAATGATCGGACAGAGACACAGAACCTTGAAGATCCCTCAAAGGAATCTGTCTCTTTCTCCTTCTGTATCCGCTCAGCTTTATTGAGTTTCCATGAAAATTATGTGCACTTTCACATTCAAAATTTGCGATCTTTTATAGCTTACACTTTGTGTGTCTGCAGTTTCCCTCGTGTTCTATCACAGGTGGCACCCATAGGTTGAGACATACTTTTTCCAGACTCCTGTGCAGGGCAGAGACAGCATCAAAGAAAAATATGCATATTTTTGGTGTTTAGACAGAGACACACAGAATTAAAACCTTTCTCAAGAGAAACTGAGTCAAGCACAGAACATAGGAGGGCGGCAGAGAGGGGTGTCAAATACTGGGAGACCTAACTATGTTTACAGCTCCCAGTAAGAGGAACCAGTGAGAAGATACACTCTGTTTTATGTTCTGTTTGTCAGAACGTGTTTTACAATATTTGTTCATACAGAGAGTGAGTAAAAGTCACTAAGGCAGCAGCATGTGTTGTCCTGATGAGACGTGACTTTAAAGCAGGATCCCACAGGGTATATATGCACACAAAATAAATATACTTACTGCAAGGGCGTAGTGCACTTGTGTACACATGGCAACAGTTTAAAGTCTATTTTGAGTGTTATAGGCTACATCCCTAACAGTATAACAGATATTATGCTTTGTGATGCTGTATTGTATTTTAATGAATATTTTGGATGCAAAGATTGGTGGCAGTGGTTCATATTGTGTTGTGTTTAAACCCCTGACTGTTGGATAGCAGTGTTGTAATCTATCTTCAGTCATTTCACTCCTCCACTCCAACATAACAACACAGCACTAGCATGTTACAAAGACTGTGATAAATATTCATGAAAATCCCACTGTTCTGAGTGCATACAAAAATTAACTTTTATACTCGGATTTCATGCATATAGTGGTGTGTTCTCTATACCATGACATTTCTACTAACATTTCATTTTAAAAAGATTACAATATACTGAGAACATGTGGTTGAATGCCTGGGAAACACAGTCGACCTCTACTAACTCCCGGGCTTAGAGGGACTTCTGCTGGAAAAACCTGATTGGCTTTTTTTCATCATGCCCAAACATAAGTCTAAACAAACTGGCACCCAGCTATGCTGCTGGAGGGGATGTGGAGAAATCATGGTGGATCATGCCCATGTTTTCTAGACTTGTCCTTCTATCCAGACTTTCTGGAAGGAAGTAGCAACAGTCATTACAAAAACTTTGGGTTTTAGTATTAGTACAACATTCACATCCCTTATTCTTGGACACATCCTTGATGAACTAAGTAAAGATGATATTTATCTATTAAAGATCCTGCTGGCAGCAAGCAAAAAGGCCATTACAAAGAACTGGCCCCAAAAAAACTGTCCCACTGCTAGCCTCTTTATTAGGACTGTTAAACGCTTACATCTTTTGGAACAAATTACATTTTCCATACAACTTCAGAAAGAATTTTGAGGAAAAACAGTAGAGAAAGTGGTATGATTATTTAGCCAACGAGACAGACATCACATGATTATCATACGTACCATATATACAACCTTGCTTTAAATTAGGAAAATTTGTTATGTCTTTGTAAACATCCCATGACCTCATATTTGTATTTGTCTTTTTTCTCCTATGTACTGCTTTCCCTTTATCTTTTTCTTTTAATTTGTTCCTAAATGTAAAAATAATGTTGATAAATAAAACAGTATAAAAAATAATTCAATATATTGCCTTGCTTACAGTATCACAATACATTACAGTATATTGAATCTTAACCCCATGTATTGTGAATTTTATTTTGACAAAATTATAGACATTTACACCATAGATTGATGCAGAAAATGCACAAATTGGTGCATAAAAATTCACCAGAATGGAGGAAATTGTTTGATGCTATGAATTTCTGGCGGTGGCACCCCAAACACCCCTATCCTAAGTTGAAATGAAACCTATAGCTTTGCAAACAAGCAGAGATACTGAAAAGTAATATGATATAAAACAAACGGGCAGACATAAAACAAGTTAATCTGCATGACAAAATGTGATATAAAAAATGGCTCAAATTCTCTTAAATATATTATTACCCCTTTGAGGAACTTTTGAGGGATCTCAAACTCAACCAGGTTAGTCTTTCTCTCCCATGTTATTGCCCATTCCGCAGCACCCAGCACCCACACCACTGGGCGGGGTTTACAGCCGTGGCTGAGCTCATGTGTCCCTCCCTCCTCAGGATAACACCGACTCACACAGTGGATGCTGCGATCTACTCGCTGGCGGGACGGCTGAGCTGCCGGTAATGCGTGTGTCCTTGTCTGCTGTCATCCCGGTAAAGCAGTTACACAAGTCGGTAAGTCCGCTCTCTTGGGAGCGGGCAGAGGAGTCACCACGGAGGAGTCACCGAGGGACAGACTGAAAACTTCTCTCAACTGCTGGTAAGATATTAAAATGCACTGAACAGCAGAGACTGTATGATCAGGAGCAGGAGTAAGCACAGGAGGCGTACAGGACAGGGAGGCTGGGGTCACCGAGAGTTTACTGCACTCTGTGATGGGCAGTATCCATCCATCACATAGTCTCCTATCAGGGTCATAAATGTACCATAAAGCTTTTAAAACAGCACTTTGATGCATTTATATCCCAGTTTGAATGTGACGTGATGATGAGGGTGCTTTAAGGGTGCAGGTAGCAAACTGATTCATGGATGGATAAACAGACATGGTTAAAAAAGATAAGTCTTATTGTTGATGTTTATGGCTGAAGGCCCAAGCAGTAATGTTAAATTGTAAATTATAATAGTATTGAAAAATAATGGTTAGTTCTTGGCATTGGTGAAATGTAACGAAATACATTTACTCAAGTACTGAACTTAAGTACAATTTGGACTTTACTTAATACTTTACTTAAGTATTTCCATATCATGCTACTTTATACTTCTACTCCTCTACATTTTAGAGACAATTATTGTACTTCTTATCTTCTCTACGTTGATTTTAAAGCTGTAATAACTTTGCAGATACAGATTATTATTACCAAATATAAATAAACTAGTAAATTATGATGTATTATTATGTACTTATGAAAAGTGCTGCATCAGTAATGAAATGGGCCATTCTGCATATTGAGTACTTTTATTTTGGTACTTTTAGCACAAAAATTGATGCTAAAACGTTTGTTCTTTTACTTAAGTAAGAGTTTGAACGCAGTATTTTTACTCGTATCAGAGCATTTTTACACTGTATTGCTACTTTAACTTAAGTCAGAGATATAAATACTTCTTCTTCCACTGGTTCTTGGATGGAAATCTTTGAGAGTGACAGAATGTTTTCAGGTCAAGTGATTTTGCCAACAGCCACATTAAATTTATGCTAAACTTTCATATCATGACTTCTTCAGTTGTACAGACAACGTATGAAATTAATCTAGAAGTAAATTCCAATACATGTGATGATTAGTCTCATCTCACAACTTAACTCCAGAGGAGTTTACACGTACTACTCTTTGTTGTGTTCCTCCGGATAAAGACTTGTCCCCTGGGTGACAGCTGACTGATTGGCATCGGTTTTTTTCCTTTGGGGTAGGAAAAGGATGACACTGGGGTCATGGTGTCAGCAGTGTAATGGGATTTCATGATCTGGACCTCTTCTGGTTAGGAAGAGGTGAAAGAGGCCACTGGCCATTATAGCACCAAGCTGATTAACTCAATACTGGATTACAATTTGAGGTGCCTGCAGCTTACTGACTCTTTCCACTGTTGCTCCTGCTCCGGGGCTTCAGTGCTGCATGCTAAATGTAGCTGTAATTATAGGGACACACCGCATGACTGAAGCAGGATGTATTTATAGGATTGTTTTTAAAGCAGTAAATTGCTCTTGTCTTCATTTTGAAAGGCGTACTTGTTACTAATGATGAATTATTCACGTTTAAAGGGTGCATATGAGTTTGATCAGCTCTCCAGATCATGCGGGTAGAGCTGGCACACACTGAAAACACACAACAAAGTCGGGCGGCAAGTAACAATTATTTTCATTCTTGATTAATCTGTTGATTACCTTCTTCATTAATCAGTTAGATGTTAGTTAGTCTTTAAAATGTCAGAAAATGGTGAAAGAATGTCTCAGTGTTTCCCACAGCCCAAAATGGCATCCTCAAATGTCTTGTTTTGTCCACACCCTAAAGATAATTCTGTTTTTCTGTCATAGAGGAGATAAGAAACCAGAAAATATTCACATTTAAGAAGCTGGAATCAGAAAATATGGACTTCTTTTTCTTTAAAAAAAATTTACTCAAACTGATTTGTTGATTATTAAATTAGATGGCGGTTAATTTAATAGCTGGCAAATGATTTATTTATTTTTGCAGGTCTACAACATAGACTCATGTAATATAACATAAGATGTACTGGAATAGAATCTGCAAGAAAACTGTGGGGTGCCATTTGTAAAGTGGCTCATGCTGAAAATAACATCAACATTTGATTTGAAGTGTTGTGAATTTTTTAACATCACCTTTTACCACATTTACAGCAATATTTGTTAAATCTAAATATTAAATGTGGCACCTAAATGTTAAATGTTAAATCTAAATATTAAATCTAAATCTAAATCTAAATGTTAAATCTAAATCTAAATATTAAATCTAAATCTAAATGATAAATCTAAATGCTGAATCTAAATCTAAATGCTAAATCTAAATCTAAATATTAAATCTAAATCTAAATGTTAAATCTAAATGCTAAATCTAAATCTAAATGTTAAATCTAAATCTAAATGCTAAATCTAAATCTAAATATTAAATTTAAATCTGAATGTTAAATCTAAATGCTAAATCTAAATCTAAATGTTAAATGTTAAATCTAAATGTTCTGGGTGAAACTAAATATTTAGCTAATATGCAAATTCACACTGCCGGTCACCGGAAGTACCAAAATAAAAGCTCGAGATGGTCAGACTGTGTTTATAGAATCAAATAACGAATTAAAACCAACTTATCAGGGGAAATGAACACTTGAACATACATTAGCGTGATCTACCTAACGTGAACTAGCGTGAACTACCTAAAATAACAAAAAACATGTTTGGAGAAATTTTATTTGACGTGTACTTTGAGTTGTTAGTGTCCCTTCGGAGGGAATCACCTTGTTGTTTACAAATACTTCCGGGTAGAAAACCAGTTTAGCTACATATATATATGAATATCTCACATTTTTCACGTACTCCAGTTAGCTCAATCATGTTGTAACTAAGACATCCACTGGAAAAAAATATTTTTTTCACGGACCGTTTAGAGTTAATGAGTCATTACAGACACCGCTAATGGGGCTAACAGCTAACGGTTAGCCCCGCTAATCTACGATAACCATTCAGTCATTGTGTTTATAGACTTTACAAACATCAGATTAGTCTAAACGGTGATATAGTGACGTGAAAAATGTGGCATATTCATATATGTAGCTAAACTCTGCTGGTTTTCTACCCGGAAGTATTTGTAAACAACAAGGTGATTCCCTCCGAAGGAACACCAACAACACGTCAAAAAAAATTTCTCCAAACATGTTTTTTGTTATTTTAGGTAGTTATTATCATGCTAATGTATGTTCAAGTGTTCATTTCCCCCAATAAGTTGGTTTTAATTTGTTATTTGATTCTATAAACACAGTCTGACCATCTCGAGCTTTTATTTTGGTACGTCCGGTGACCGGCAGTGTGAATTTGCATATTAGCTAAATATTTAGTTTCACCCAGAACATTTAGATTTAACATTTAACATTTAGATTTAGATTTAGATTTAGCACTTAGACTTAACATTTAGATTTAGATTTAGCATTTAGATTTAACATTTAGATTTAGATTTAGATGTAATATTTAGATTTAACATTTAGATTTAGATTTAGATTTAACATTTAGATTTAGATTTAATATTTAGATTTAACATTTAGATTTACATTCAGATTTAATATTTAGATTTAACATTTAACATTTAGGTGCCACATTTAATATTTAGATTTAAATATTTAATATATTTCTAAGTTAACAAATATTGCTGTAAATGTGGTAAAAGGTGACATTAAAAAACACTTTTTTAAATATTGTTTGAAGCTAAATGTGGCAAAATGTTGATGTTATTTTCAGCATGAGCCACTTTACAAACGGCACCCCATAGAAAACCCTACATTTATAATGTAGTGGTTGGTGCTGTTGCTGTTGACGATTAAATGACAAATTAAGTATTTATTCCTCCCTCTCACGTGCACACACACACACACACACACACACACACTTTGTCTCTTTCTAAATGTTTCCATTTGACAAAGGGCAAACCAGAGGGAGGTGAGTTGGGATGTCATTACGCCCACCATCAGAAAAGCACATGCCTGCAGCTGCAGTTATATCCTGGCAGAGCCACCCACGTTAAATATATCCCTCAGACCTCAGCGGTGTCAAGAGAAATCGGATCAGTAAGCGTTAAATTATTACCCCTTAACAAACTTGCACCAGGCTAATGTGTCGCAGTGTAGCGCCATTCTATAAATACTCATATCCTCGTTATTCCCCTTATCTTACTAACCTATTTCTTAATTTAAATACAGTGATTATCAGTGGGATCACTATTGCTGCAGGTATGGAAGGGTGTGTTGTCTGCTGTCCTTGAGGCATTTTTTTCTACTGTGTAAGTGCTTCAAAAAAGTAGTTTTACAGGCTACACATTTAAAACAATGTAACAAGTAAAAAATGCTGCACTCACTGTAGCTGAACATAATTGGTTTACTGTATGAAGTTGAGATTGAAAGATGATCGTGACAACTTTATTCTTGTCATGAATGTACTCTGGACTGGAGGGCTGTTTATTCATGAATGCATACACGTGCACATGGCTGTTTGTGTGTAAATAAGCACCACCATTCTTGTGCACTGTATACGTTTTTGTATGCAGAATGTGTCACTTTGTTCTACTTTGGGCATAGTCTTTGCATGTTTTGACCCCTGCCTTTACACTGAATGATGTCCTCGACCATGGCTATGAGGTAAAATTGTATTTTAGAAAGCAAAACATGGGGAATTACAATTGTTAGAAAGCTGTACCTAAACATATCAATTTGTGTTAAGCAGGCATCTAATGTCCTTAATACTCCTTGTCCTGAGGGTGATAATGGGGTCATTACAATCAAGTGTTTATCACTCTGGGAGCAGTTTCATTGCCTTGAAATTTACTCAACAACTTCAAGTCCAGCTTTTTGTTTTGTGTTACTCTCTGTCCTTAAATGCTACTTACAAGAAGAAACGATTAAACCAGTTCTGTACAGTACTAGGAAATGTTTAGTCTGCCGCAGTCTGAGCAAGAGTACAGGTCAACCTTTTGATAGGAAAGCAGTGTACGTCATTCCTGGTGTCTGTTTTGCATATTCCTTCAATTCATGGCCAGCAATCTGTACTTTCTGATAAGAGGACAGATGAACAAGTGCTGCTTGAAGAGTGACAATGATGAGTCACACTTTTGTCATTTTAAAACTGCTGATCTCCTGTGGAGCCATAGTTCCTGAAATCAGAAGAGACTGTCATTGTGTCCTTGTCTGTATACTGAGGCCTTTATGTATGATAGTGGCTACAGTGGAGCACTTATGCTCTGAGGACCAGTTATTTTCTTAAATAATAGTCCAATTAGCACATTTTATTTGTAAAAAGTTAAGTTAATATGGTACTGAAATACGTAAATCACTGAGGTTATTTTGTGCATGAGAAAGAAATATTCCTTATTAAGCACCTGAGCAAAGGTGGGCTGTCATATAACTATGCCCTAAGGGGGATCATCCTGCTTCATTGCTCGCATATGTTCCTCAATTTACCTCGTCATTTGATACATCCTCTCCTTACCTTTTAAAATGAATTAATTTTTGCTAGTCTGGACTTAGATGTTAGCCTTGCAATGACCCAACTAATTTCATTGTAGGGAATTTAGACAACATGCAGCTACACTTCTGGGTGTATTCATTTGCAGTAGAGCTTTTGCTCAGTTTTAAGACATTTTGCACAATTACCTTAAATGTTGCTGTGTTACATAATGGTCACCATGGTGAGCCTATGTACAACTATGGAGCAGTGGGTCGGTAACCAAGCACTTAAAAGTCTGTTTATTTCCTATAATCACCATAAATATGCAGTAGGGCTGGGTGATATGGAGAAAATCAAATATAACGATATTTTTGACCAGATAGCTTGATATTGATGTGACCATACTGTAGGGTTGACTTTTGGTGCTTTCGAAATATTTACACATAAGATTTTTGATAAATAATAATCAGTAATGTGGATATAATGACTAAGTGGGTAAAGGAGAAATAACAGCTGGAACAGTCTGGTAAGTTCAGAGAATTTCATCACTTTACTGTAATGCAGCCTTTAAAACCAGGAAAAAAAAACAACAACACTTAAAATATTATGATATCCAAAATCTAAGACCACATGTAATCTCATATCAAGATAACAATATATAGATAAACTACCCAGCCCTACCTTGGAGGGATTCACAGTATAATTGACAAATAAGATAAGGGGCCTCTGAGGTAAAACTGAATACTAAGTCCATACCATTATATCTGTAAGGGAAGAGCTTCTCACTGTTGGCCAGCACTTTCCCAGCTTAGCAGCTTATTCAGTTTGGGCAACTGGTTACGTAAGAAGGCTATATGCAGCAGGAGGCTAATCCACTGCCTTGACGTTAATGCCAATTATCAGATCATGGTGACGTTATTGAAATTAAGGCACCATAAAGAAGAGTTTGTAGCAGTCACTCACCGAAAGTCTAAGTGTGACTTCCTCAAAACAATGTGTTTTTGTTTTTTTAATCATGTTGCATAGTGTTAAGAAATTCAAAGGCAGCCTGTAAGTCAGTAAGTAGTCTTTGCACGTTGAATCTCTGGAAGGTGTTGTGTTGACATTCTTCGAAATACCACTTATAGCTCACTGTTACTGTTGTAAACAAAGCGTGCATTGAAAAAAATAAAGAACCAGTGAAGAAGAAGAACCCCTAGTGCCATACTACTGTATGTCAGGCCTGCAGGACTTTTGGATACAAAAGTCCCCAGAACCCACAACATACATCCTTAAATACAAGGATTATATTTAAGGAATGTACAGACAGTGTCCCAGTGGCTTTACATGTCCTTATCAAAATCTTTAAACAGGCAGGTTGCCCGTTCCATGTTCAGCAAATCCAGATATTTCTCAAGCCACAGATCCCTGGAGAACAGGGTGGTTTATGTTCCTTCCACTTTAAAAGAATTAATCTTTTAGTCTCTGAATCAAAACAACAATTTAGACACAAATGAAAGTGTTTCCCTTCAAGCTTTCTGTGTTTTTTAAGGGAAAAGCTACCTCTACTTGGTTTAATTCAGGTTTCTGAGGTTTCTGTGTCTAAATGCATTATCTATGTTTCATTTCCTGGTACCCATGTTTGTTTTTGGCAAAAGATTTATTCAGACTTAAATATATTTTATGAGAGTTTTTGACCACTCTGAGATTAGATCAGATTTGTTATTTGTCCCAGATGGAGATTCTTCTCCATTTTTAGAGTCCTGTATCTCTGAACAGATGGTAGTGATGTGAAGTGTTGATTGATTGAGAGGGTGATCAGTGTCATATGTGAATGTGATCTCTCTGAGTTTCATATCTGACAGACTGGATTTTGGATGCACTGTGTGATGTGAGAATGTCAATATGCATGCTTACACTTAAGCTTTTTCCCTGGCATCAGTGGAGTAGCACAAGTCCAGAGATCCCTCTGTTTAATATGTCAGATCCTCAACTGACAGCAACAATTCGTCATCAGTGATCAAAAGAAAGGGAGAGAGCATGTGAGAGAGCGTGGGGGATGATGTGCATTTTGCTTTCACTGATGCAACATCAGCCCTCCCATCTCTTTACCCTCTATATCATCTGCCCTCCCCCCTCGCTGCCCTCCCAGTGGGTTCAGTAATAACTCAAACATCTGCACATGGCTAGGGAATCGCAGATTTCCAAGTCAAGCGAATGGGAGTTGGGCAAACCAGCCTCCCACTGTGTGTGTGTCTCTGTTGTTGAGGCAAAAGCCTTAACTCAGGTTATGCAATCGCTTACGCTGCATGTGCCAGCTGGTAGAGGTGGACAGAAACAGAGATGGTTTTTAATCCTTAGTGAAACCGCATACATTCACTGCGGGAGATTTTCTTTCAGTTCATCACATTTAGTGTTCTGTAGTGAGATATTGTGTTAATAATTATGGTGTCTGTGTAAGGCATGGGTGTTCTGTTCTCAAGTTCTCAAACAAATTGCATTTTAATCTTGTTCTGTATCACTGCTGAAATGTTTTCTGAGTATAAATAAATTGCAGTCTCGCAGGAATGCGCATATGACTTTAGTCATGCAAGCATGTTGTGACTCAGTACAAGATGTGCAGTTCTGCTGTTGGGGTGGACATCATCAAACACTGTAAAGCGTGTGATTCGCCAACAGTACGGATCAAAAAGTTCCCCCATTCTCACCTTTCTTTGTTTATTTTGTTTTCTCCATCCAACAGCCAACGCTTTGTGGTGCCATGATGAAGAAAGTCTGGGAAGTGATCCTGCTGCTGTTGTTGCTGCTCTTCACAGAGCATGCAAAGGGAAAAGGTAAGTGTTTGAACACAGTATCTTCCTAAGTATGAGGTGACACAGGAAACAGGAGCCAGAGCAGCAAAATTAATACGTAATATTATTTGTTGATATTTTTGTGGTATATTATATGCATCATACACAATTAACAAATGTCACCCTCTGCTTTTGTCACATAATTCACACTGTTTGGTAAGTAATCTACTATTTACTTGTGTTTTCTCCTTTTCCTGTCTGTCTTTAGGTCAAAACCCGCCAGGGAAACCCACACTGACCAGATGTCGTTCTCCAGAGAAAGAGACCTTCACCTGCTGGTGGGAGCCAGGCTCTGATGGGGGACTGCCCACCACCCACGCCCTGTACTACCGCAAAGAAAAGTGAGCTTCAGCTTCCAGTTTCATGCAGTGACACAGTCACTTCATGTTGTTTAATTCTGATTGGTGCTCATAGTGAGAGACAAAAAAGGGACACAATGGATTGTTCATTATAAAGGGAGAGGTCTAATGGATGCAGGGGCATGTTTAATGAGGACGTCACAGCAACATAGAAGAATAACAGAGCTTAAAGGGACATCTTACCCCAAGATCAAAATACATAATTTCCTCTTACCTGTAGTACTATTTATCAATCTAGAGTGTGTTGGTGTGAGTTGCCAGCTGTTGGAAATATCACCTATAGAGATGTCTGCCTCCTCCAATATAATGGAAACAAGATGGCACTCAGCTTGTGGTGCTCAAAGCACCACAAACATACATTTGAAAAACTCAACAGCAATGCCTCTTTCCAGAAATCATGACCTGCTTACTCAGGAAAATCCACAGACCTTGGAGTGAACAGTTTCATATAGGAACTATTTTCTGTCTACACCTGTTGACCGGATCACGACACAGAGGAAGGCTTGCATCCGCTGCTAGCTCACCCAGCACCACTGAGGTAGCCAACGTTACATCTCAGCCAATGAAGACGCCATTAATGTCTTGCACTGTCACAAGCACGAGCCTCTCCTCCATGAGTAGATGCACGCTTCCTTCTGCTTTGTGATACAGTTAGCGGGTGCAGTTTGATACAAAGAAAGTAGTTCCTACATGAAACTGCTCCTCTAATCTTAAGTAACCAGGTCATGATTTCTGGAAAGACACATTGCTGTCTTTCAAGTGTAGGTTTTTTGGCACTTTGAGCACCACAAGCCGAGTGCCATCTAGTTCTATCGTATTTGAGAGAAGGCAGACATCTCGGCAACTCAAATGAAAACAATCTAGACTGATAAATGGCACTACAGGTGAGAGAAAAAATACGTATTTTTGATTGTAGGGTGAACTGTCCCTTTAGAAACACCCCAGCAACTGCATCAAACTACTATTGGACGTCTTTACATCCTCAAGGTTGGCACAGTTACCAGCGACTGGCCCTCCTGAAAGTTCATAGCATTGAGGGCACCAGATGGGTGTAAGAGGATAAAGATTGCAGAGAGTTATGTAGCGCTGGTTGTGATCACGGCGATGGATTTTGGAATTGTGCAAGCTTGATAATGAACAGACATGGATGCAAAGAGGGAGAGGAGGAGCATGGAACATCTGTGTTCAACCACAAAGCTTCTTTTAGTCAATTAGCAAAGTTGCACAAGGACAAGGACGCTGATGGGAGTGGAGGTGCACATTGAGGAGAATGAAGATGAGGGTTGCAGAGCAGATAAAATGCTTATCATATGAAGTGTGTGAGACAAAGAGGATAGGGTCAGTATTCTGGATAATGTCGAAGGCAGTGTTTGACAGTTTGGGAATGATGCACTTATACTGTGTAACATATACTTTATTTAAGATATAATGCATGTATTAAAGGAGTAGTTCAACATTTTGGAAATATGCCTATTAGCTCTCTTGCCAAGAGTGAGATGAGAACGTTGATACCATGTCATGTCTCTTTGTTGAATATGAAGCTATAGCTAGCAGTTTGTTAGCTTAGCTTAGCATATTTGTCCTTGTACATCTCCCACTGTGTGATGCCTTCCATTCTGCACTCAGTTCAATTTTACCCCCACTAGAGGAATGTGACAACAAATTCACTGTAATTAAAATACACAATGCACCATCCTCAGAGTAGCCACCAGCTGCTTCCTTTTACTTCACCGCTGGGTGAGCGTAATGCATGCAGATGCTCACGCCATCTTTCTGAGATCTACCCTCTACTTAACAGGTCCTCTCAACAGTCAACACTAGTCCCCGCTACAGCAACAATGACACATTCCCTCTGCTTCCTAAACATTAACACTTCCAGCTGTGTTCATCAAAGGACTCAGGTCGACTAGGATTTAAGCCTAAGTGTGTGTCATGTTGGCCAAGTGCACACATAACATGTCAGCTGAGTTATTTTCATTGTCCTCTTGAAAAGAAAACATCCTAAAGATGAGGCGAACCTGTGGTAGGAATGACAGTCATGAAGCTTCTGAGAGTGGCCTGGAATAGATGATGCAAACCCAGCGATACAAGAGGTGCAGGCGTGATAGAACAGCATAAAATAAGTGCAGATAATTGAGAGTGTAGGATGTAGAAAAAAAATTATACAGCTATTTTGATGTTTTATTCTGGCTAAGGATGTTTTCTTCCGCTCCTGTTTGCAATTCAGCAAAACATCTCTCCCCATTTATCTCGCAATCACCCACTGTGTCTCACACAATTTAAGTAACTGTAGCATGAAGAATGCATGCTGCTCTTTGTAAATGTAACAGTGCAGTACAGTACAAACACGCACATGCGATGACATGCTGCTCCCCTGCCTCTCTCGCAGCTCTGACACAGTGTATGAGTGTCCTGACTACCACACAGCCGGAGAGAACTCCTGCTTCTTCAACAAGAACGACACATCCATCTGGGTCAACTACAACATCACCGTGGTGGCCACCAATGCACTGGGCAGCACCTTCTCCGACCCTGTGGATGTAGATGTGGTGTACATTGGTGAGGGAACATGTGCTACTTTTCTTTTTTTGTATTTATTCTCATGATATTCGAGGCACAGTTTCCTCATGAGGATTAAAAAAGTGTATTTTAATGCACGCTCTCACAGCTGCTCAACAGCACAATGGGTTACAATGGGGCTAATGCTCTCTAAGTGCACTCACCCTTCCTCCAGTTGTAACTGCGCACAGAAGGTCGCCATTTTAAAGCAGTGAAATTAAAAAATCATTTCATTAGCCTGCTGAATAATGGTTGATTATGATAAACCGAAATGTAAGAGAAACTGAGTGACTTAAAGGTGCAATGTGTAATGCCAGGCCACATGCTCTGAACAAATAAGGGGCAGCATGCTTATCTCAGTTTTACCATGACGATAGTAGTAAGTAAACAGCCACATCAAAACTATTTTTCGGTGCCATTTGCAGTGTTTTTCGATATGGTTTGTGATGTCATCAGTTGCCATAAAGATACATTTTGCCAAATAGCCAACGTTGGATGTAACTTACCATTCTAAAAGAAACATCAACATCAAACCTCATCATCTCTTTATGGTGTATGCCAAAAGCCGACTCCAGTTGCGGAAAGCCACACCAATGTTTACTCGTTTTAATTATTTTGATATCACTTAATTTCTTTGGTGGTGTTAAAGGTCGCTTGTCAGGAGCTTCAGCCATCTTTGTGTTTACTGTGCTTTTTCTTCAAAAGGATTGACAACCAGGCCCCAAGGAAATGTGCTCGGCTTTGACAGCAATTTTCGTAGTGGCCAAATAGTGGAACTACATCTGTCACATGATGCTATAGGGCCCAATAAGACTTTTTCCCACTGATTTACATGGCGAAAGAGACATCTGTAAATAAGTGGATACATTTTTTGGTCATTATATCCCCATTCAAATTAGCTGACTGCTAAATATAGCCAGCTTGGCCAGCGGAAGTTTCCAGTGTGCTTGCTTTATGGGCCACACAGTGCTGAAACAGTGCCGATCATCCAGGTGATTTTATAGGTGGCAGATGAACTTTTTTGGCTTCATCTATCATAGAAATGAACAGGGACCCACCTCCAGTGCTGTATCCAGGTCTCCTTATACATCCATGATGACAAGTCCTTAGTGCAGCTCCACTTCTACTTCTTCTACAAGTGGTATTATAAGACAGGATGGGTTGGGGCTAGCTGGTCAGCATGCTCATTTCAGTAGATATCTCTGCAATACAATACATAGGTGTCTTTAACAGAACGTCAGAGACATTCTGTTGATAATATTAGTTCAGTTTTTGAACGTTCTAAACCAAAAATCTAGCCGTAGCTTACACATTGCACCTTTAAAGGATAAATCTGTTGATATTTTTTATTTTCCTTACTACCTACAAATCCCATAAAAAAACAGCATAAAATGGAGTGGTTGTACTAAGAAATATAGCTATCCCAAGCCTAATAAAGCATATTCCTCTGTGCAACAGAGCTCTTCTGTTGTTCCAAAACTATTAAAAACACAAAAATGTGCCATGCTGTTGCACCGGCAAGTTGCTTCATTATCATGAACACGGTCACTGCAGTTTATTTTGAGTCAGAGCACCAAATGCGTAATAATCCATGGCTGAAAATAGTCCCTGACAACTGCACTATTTTCTCCTCTTGAGTGACATTTTTTAAAATCTACACTGGCCTGCTTTGTTAGGAAATTACTTAGCCCCTTTTTTAAATTAAAAAAATATCTTTGTGACCCATTTTAAAAGTAGAAGCTAACTGGGTTGGGGATGACAGCCACAGACAGGGCAGGGGAGTTGGAAAGTACAGAGAGATGGACTAACACACTGCTGGTTTTAGTGTTTTCATGGGATTTGTTGATGACAAGGAACATGTAGCATAATTCCAGTCCTTCTTTTATCTGACATCTGATAAAATATAAATACTGGCCAGATGCTTCATATATTGTAATATATGTAAATATTGTATGAGGTAATTAATTAGTTGCATCCTGTCATGATGCTAAAGACAAAAGCATATTGTTTTGTTCATGAAATATCCAAAAGGAAGTCTTAAAGTATCCTCCTTGCCCTTGAGGCAGCTTATCTACCTCTTCCTCTCTAGTAGTTGGACTGACCTGATTTGGTTATCAGCCCTAAGCTTTCTTGTTTTAACATATTGTCAAGTATGTCTCCAAGAAGATAACTTCAAACCCAAATATTAGCATTTCTCTCAACCATGTCACCACTTGCATGGTTCAGCCATTAGGGAAAGTCACTCCTGTCATGACAAGAGTTCATCTGCTGGAGGTGTGCAATGGTTTACTGTTGCATAGAGGAAGAGAGACATGGACACACTCCTGTCGACTTGGAACTCCTTGTCACAGTCACAGTTAAGCCACAGTTTTTGTGTCACTGTGTTATGAACATTATTATCCGCTTTAATTATTTTTATCTTCCTCCCTCTCAGTCACACACACAAAATACACACACTCATTAACAATTTCTCTCTCCCTCTTTAGTCAAGCCTAATCCTCCAGAGAAGGTAACGGTGACTGTAATGGAGGATAAGGGCTGGCCCTTTCTGCGGGTGTCATGGGAACCGCCACATAAGGCTGACACCCGCTCTGGTTGGATCACGCTCATCTACGAGCTCCGCGTCAAGTTGGAGGGGGAAAATGACTGGGAGGTACGTAACTGGTTTCCCATCCAAAGGAGTGGACCAGTGGTTAAAATGCTCAAGCCTCATGTTTGTGAACTTGTCCTTTCCTCAGGGGATGATTCTGATTAATTTCCTTTAGTTGAATTTTAACTTTACTACACAACATTTATAATCTACATGTTGTGTCCATTGTTTGTGTTGTACTTCCAGATGCACCTTGCAGGCCAGCAGAAGATATTTAACATCTTCAGCCTGCGGTCAGGTGGTAAATACCTTGTTCAGGTGCGCTGTAAGCCCGATCATGGCTTTTGGAGTGAATGGAGTTCAACTTCCTACATCAAAGTTCCTGACTGTAAGACATCTTCAGTACACTACACATTACGTATAGAACATGGACTTTATTTAAGAAGATATAATAGGTTACATTTATTATGCTTATGCACTTTCCTTGCTGAGAGTTAGATGAGATGGTTGATAACACTCCCATAAATGTAAAGTAAAGCTGAAGCAAGGAGGTGGTTAGATTAGCTTAGCATTAAGACTGGAAACAGTGTGAAACAGCCAGCATCGCTCTATCCAAAGATAAAAATCAGCTGCTCCCCCTGTTTCCAGTCTTCATGCTGAGCTAAGCTAACTTTATTCTGACTTCAGTCCCATATTGAACGGACAGATGATCTGATGTGTTACCAAGAAAGAAAACACGCATGTTTCCCAAACAGTGAATTATCCCTTTTGCTAATGTTAAAGGGATAAAATGATCCTAATAATAAGACAGTACAAGGTTGGATGTTGTGTTGAAGCACTCACATTTTTATGTTGTGTCTTACAGATTTTCATCAGGAGAAGTCAGTGTGGATCCTCGTAACGGTCTTTTGTGCCTTCATCTTCCTCATCCTCACATGGTTGCTACACATGAACAGCCGCAGGTAAAACAACAGTCATGAATTCCTTGAGCTATTTGCTTCACCAAATGTTGACTTTTATTGTGTTATTGTAATATTAACACATGTTACATGTTATATGCAACATTTTAGGTATAGATAATGGTAACATTATTATTAGATATTTAGGAGCTGTTTGCAACATCCATTGCATTTAGAAAGCAGCAAACCACTATTTGCTATGTAAAAATATGTCATGTAGCAGTTCAGAGGGAGGAACCGAATGCAGACCAACAGGCAGTTTGAGTCTTTAACAAAAAAGCAAGTTTTAATTTAGCTGATCAAAAACATCCAGTAAAGGCAGGCAACTCAAAATCCAAACGAAAGCAGAACAAAAACACGATGAACAGGGATGAGCACCGGAACAACGCCGGGATGAATGCAGGAACGACCGCAGAATGCACCCAGGAGGAACACAGGATCTACACAGACGAACTGTTAAAGAACAAAGGGAAACACACAGGTATATACACAGAAAACTAATCACAAGAAGGAGACACAGCGGGAGTAGGAGGGCACGAGCAAAAGGAAAGAAATGGAGATTGGCTAACAACAAGGGTGTGGAGAGGAACACTAGGGTGGAGCAAATAAGACTAAAACAGAACAGGTGTGAGGAGAAGACTCTGGGAACAGGAAGGGACTAACGAGACAGGTGTGACAGAAAACAGGCGGGAAAATACACAAAGACAGGAAGTACAACCAGACATGACACATGAGGAGAAAATCTACAAAATAAAACAGGAAGCAGATTAAACATGAATGAATAACATGAAACAGGGAACACAAATAGAAAACTCCAAAACAAAGTCCATAGGATAACAGAATATAAACAAAAACCCAGGATCATGACAAAATATAGCAAAGTAATGGCATCCTGAGCAGAGAAGGAAGTCACTCTCCCTCTGTGTGTGTGCTGTAATCCGAGCTTCTCTGTTCTTTGTTGTGGTAGAAGGTCCGGCTGCGCGTGCATGTTAGTGCATGTGAGATACTGTGTGTGTAGTCCACTGGCTAGCTAATCGCTGCCACTGTGCACTGTGCTCATACGGTGGTTACCTCTGATAACACCATCCAACTGGCTGAACGGTGTCACTGTGAAAGCATAGCGCCTTCCCTCCAGTCACCCCCCCAACTGTAGCACCGTTAGCTCCGTCAGCACTGTTGCCATTGTTAACACTGTTTGCACTGTTACTGCCTGCATGTAGAGAACCATGTGCAGATTCTAAATCATAGCTTTGCTCTGAATGTCGCACACTTTAAGAAAAACAATGTCTCTTATTTCAAAATTTTAAACTTGCCATAACAGAGTAGTTGAGATGTTATTGTAATTTGTTACAGTTATTGTTATCTGTATTTATTTGTTATTAATGGAAAATAAATTATCATTTCATGATTGCAAGATAATGGAAAAACTACATTAAACAGTTTAAAACAGTTCGCTATCTTGAGATAATGTGATACAATTATAAAATTAAATTGCTTAAATAACCACTGCCACTCTGGGCTTTTATTGCATACAAGAAGTGAAGTATTGATTTTTATAATCATCTTGTATTTATTGATTTTCATCTGTTGTTCACACGCCCTGACATAAATCTCTCTCTTTCCCCATGTGTGAAGTCTGAAGCATTTCATTCTGCCTCCAGTCCCTGGCCCTAAAATCAAAGGATTTGATAAGCAGCTTCTCAAAGTAATGCACCACCATATGGATCAATGTTTTGATTTATACAATAACTCATTGAATAGACTTGTAATTCATTGTTTCACCACTTTCCTGTAACTGAATTTTCCTCTTTGTGTGTAGAATGGCAAATCTGACAATGTCTTCAGTGCACTGGTGGTATCTGATTTCCCTCCAACCACATCATCTAACTATGAGGACTTGCTGGTGGAGTACTTGGAGGTGTACGTCCCAGAGGAGCAGGAGCTGATACTGGAGGAAAGCAAGGATCTACAGGATAGCTGCCTAAAATCTGAGAGCTCCACATGTGACAGCGACTCTGGCCGAGGCAGCTGCGACAGCCACACTCTGCTGATGGAGAAGTGTGAAGATACAAAAGAAGAAGAGAGGCAAGCAGATCGGGAAAGCGGTCGAATGCAAACGGAGGCACAGTCGCGCCAGAAGGACTGGGAGCAGGAAGCGCTGACCTATGCTCATGGAGACATAGTTAGCCCTGACATGTCCAGTGGGAGGGTGAAGACCTGGCCCTCTGTGTTTTCTCCGCTGCCCCAGTACAGCTCAAACCCACTGGACCAACAGAGCTCACTTGAGATGGCTAAACAGCATTCCCTCTCGACGTCCTCCTATCTCACCCAGCCTGGCCATGGCACCAAGGAGACTCCCGGGCCGAGCTACTGGGACTTCTGCATGAGCGACAAGCAGCCTCATCTGCTCCATCCTCAGATGCAGGCTCACCGGCAACTCCAGGCCCACAGCGATGTCAACATCTCCAGCATTGGTTGCAAACCGGCACCTGCTGGTCTGCAGTCGCCAGCTCTCCGGGCCACAGAGTACGTTGAGGTCCAGAGGGTCAGCAAGGAGGATATGGTGCTTCTCCAGCCCGTTGTGTCAGGCTGTGGCCGCATGGAAGGCTGCCCCCAGATGCACCAGGGGGAGGACTACAGCAAGGTAAAGGGGGTTAACAGTGACAACATGCTGCTGCTCCAGAGAGGGGTGATGGAAGACGACGGGTGCCCTTGCGTGGACCAGGAGGTGAATGGAATGACTGGGAACGGCCACACATCATCAACTGTTAGCACTATGCAGAAGCCTTCAGCCTGCAATCACACTGCCATGCAGGTACAGGACGAAACGGTCCTGGGAGTGAATGGATATGTTTACACTGCCACCATGAGCACTCCAGCCATTTGCTAGGTGGCCCACAAGCCCTACTGGCAGGTCTGGGACATTGCAAGACCTGTTTCAGGCCAGAACTGAGACAAAAATGGGTGACTCCTTCAAAAATTGTTGCAAGGACAACAATTACTTGCCACAGTTATTTATTTCTCATCTTATTCTCATGTAAGAGACTTTTCATTAATTACACTGCAGTGACACGCTCTTGAGATTTCAAAAGAATTTGATTGAATGATCTGAATAATAATCTTGCAGTAAACTTTATGAAGAATATAATTGATTGTATAAGTTATGTGGTATATGCTGTCATAATGATATGTATATATTATGATATGTCTGACACAAATCTTTTTCTTGGTACAGGCACACATTTTAATATCTTGAACTTTTTTAATATCTTTGATGGAATATATTGATGCATACTGATGTAATGTATCTGTAAATTATTTGTGTAAAATCAAACTTGCAGGAAGCTCAAACATAAAATGTTTTTGTTTTGTTTCAGTTCTTGTCTGTGTATTTTCTCTCTGCTCCTTGTAGAAAACATCTTCACATCATTCAGGCTGTACTGAGGGGGCTGCAGCTCCCCCTGCTGGTTTGAGTAAAACACTGTGGAAATACAATTTTCGCTTTTCAAATCATCACCTTCGCCCTTCATTTTGATCTCAACTACACATCTGTAAAGTTTCATGACTGCATTTTGCAAGGTTACTACTACTGCCACAATAGGTGCCACCAGGATGACATTTTGCCATGATAACACACACACAGACTCTCAAGGTGAAAATGTGTGAATGATACACATATTCACCTACCGCTGATACAGGATTAACAGAATACTTTGCCCATATGACTGTTTGTAAATCAGTTGGTCACGCTATGTTACCTTGAATTTGAATTCTTTGTTTTTTTTCACATTCCTCCATGGAAAACTTTGATTTATTGATTTACTGAGGACCAAGTTCAACAACAGCAAAACTATATCAAAACATCTTTGTACAAACTCTCACACAGCTCCTGTAGTATAATCCAAGTCTCATTTATCCAGTCGTATGCTCAGTACTTCCAAAATGCATGCATTTTTGCCAAAAACAAAACAACGGGTGTTGTGGTTCCCAGTTGATCAGTAAATCAATGGTATCCATTTTCTTTGGAAGCATGCGAGGAAAACAAACTGTTCTTTACGCCTTCAAGGTAACATGACTAACTGGTTTACAATGCTCATTTTGTGGGTGAAGTATTCCTAAGGGTTACCGTTCATCGTTAATGCCACACTATAACCTACCTAAAGTGCCTTAACTGGTCCCCATAGCTTACCAAACACTCCCCACCTTGCTGTGATCCAAATGGAGGAATTCTCCAGCTCCCTCAGACACATCTGAAATGTAAGTACAGGCATCAGACTTCCATAATGACAAGATAAGGGTTTTTTTTAGCCAATACAGTGCCAAGATACACCAGCCATTTGAGGTCAGCCCTCACTTTGAAACAATTTGGGTGTAATATTTTCTGGGTGACACCCTGAGGTCGTGTACTATCAGTCTGACGTGGAACGGTTGAGTAATAACAGGTAGTTTTTTAAAAAAAAATGTTAATTTACAAGGAGTACAGTAAAATATGCCAGTTCAGAGGGCTTTTATTCTGAAATGCTACATCAGATTGACCTGATATTTTCTGGGTGACACCATGAGGTTGTGTACTATCAGTCTGAAGTGGAACGGTTGAGTAATAATGGTTAGTTTTTTAAAAAAATCTATTAATCTTACTGTAGATGGCAGGGAAATATGACAGTTCAAAGGGCTTTTATTTTGAAATGCTACGTCAGATTAACGTGATATTTTCTGGGTGACACCCTGAGGTCGTTTTGGAAGCTTGCTTTTACTTTGAAATCAGTCCTTTCTCGCTCTTGCCGTTATGTGTAGTATATGCGCGCATCGCAAAACAACGTGAGGGATGGCTTGACCTCAGTGCCCTACGCCACTGCCAGAGTTCAGTCAAAGGGCATGGATACCAAGAAGCGAAGCTCAATAGAACGCCCCATAGCAACAGACTCGCCTATTTCGTCCTACCGCCGCCATTTTGGACTGTCAGCAGACCGCAGCTAGTCTCGCCTCCAGACAATCAGAGATCTCCGTCTTCTGATGGTGGTGACATTGGTGACACTCCTTTCTAAAGTGTGTTTAACATACCAGGTGCAACAAAGCAACGCCTCTTGCATTTTTGAAAAGGACACGCCTTCTCGGAAATGTGCGCTCCCCCTTTTCTCGTCCGCAAGGAAACAAACACACGGAGAGCTTGAAAATGGATGCCGAGAGATTTAACTCCGTTTTATCAAACGTGTGCTCATCCGTGAAGAAAATATTTTTTCCAGCGGATGTCTTAGTTACAACATGATTGAGCTAACTGGAGTAGTTTCATGTCGTATCTGACAACGGGAGGCTTTTAACAGATGACGTCCTGATGTTAGCTTTGCTGCTGCTGTTAGCTGTCCCTGTCAGCTGAAGCCACTGATGCTTTCTAGACATCGCGATTTCCCAAAACTGAATAAATAACACACATAGCAACACAAAACTGCTTTGCTAGGTCAATCATGTTGTAACTAAGATATCCGCTGGAAAAGATATTTTTTCATGGACCGTTGAATGAGTTATTACCTATTACAGACACCGCTAACAGCTAACAGGGCAAACAGCTAACGGTTAGCCCAGCTCAACGTGCACACAGAAATAGTAATGTTTGTTCAATCATTGTGTTTATAGACTTTACAAACAAGCTCTGCTGGTTTTCTACCCAGAAGTATTTGTAAACAACAAGTCGATTGCCTCTATAGTCCGGCCGGACGGATGAGTCATGGCCTTGTAAAAGATTATGTTTGTTTCTTTTAGTTGGCGAGAATGTGTCGCCGCAAACGCGACAAACACCCACTAACTTTGACGGCGTTTGACTTTGTACCGCTACACGTGTTTCTAGTGGGACTATGTTTACAAGCACAAGAGTTCAGCGAGCCACCGAAGGACCGCCCTACAGATTTACTACTGGTTCTGCAATGTAGGGATTTTTTTTTTAAACTCTGAAATTGTATCCGCCCATCTAAACACAAAATCAGGGAGAAAGACATCAGTCTGAGGGTTAGGGTTAGCAAAGCGTCTGATTTGTGAGTCTAGACCGCAGCAGACCCGCTTGCATACAAAAACACACAGACAAACCTAAGTATATCGCTATTAATTATGCTTACAATGCTACTCACCTCGTGATAGCTTGGTCACAGCTGCTTTTTCACGTTTTTGTAAAGCAAAATATAGACTTTAAAAAAACAAAACGAAGAAAAACGGCCTAGATGGCATCTTTACATATTACATCCACTTATTAAAAGTTTAACTTAATTACTCCTTCAAAATCACCCCATAAGCCAATCTACCAAAAAAAAAAAAAAAATTAAAAATTTTTTTTTTATCGAGAAACACATTAATGGCGACGTCACATAGTCAGGAATAAAGATTTATTTACAGTTTGTACAGTAAGGGGACAGTAATAATAATAATAATAATAATAATAATAATAATATATAGGATATTTATTTTAATATGATATCTTATGTTATCTTCCTTCCAAAACTGGCATATTAAATTGATATTAAAACACTTTAAAACGTACACCTCTGTCGGGATCCTTCGGAAAACGGTGGAAGGCCAGGTGCGGGGTGTTCCACTGATAGTTCTTGCAATTGATTGCACTACACTTTTTTCTTTTACTTTTTTTCCTCCTCTCTCCTTGACATCTTGCATGTTGTCTGGCCGCAACAGTCCAAGCTCGACAGTCCAAAATGGCGGCAGCGCTACCGCAGCGCCCCTAGTGGCTGTTGGCAAAAATTCAACGGAGCTTCGCCTCTTGGTATCCATGCTCTTTGGTTCAGTGTCACTCATGGGCCCATAATGGCCACAAGAGGGTTAGCCTCACATTACTTGTTAAATGCTTTTGTGTAACAGTTAAAAAGTCCAGGATGAGAGGAGAGGTGTATGACACATTAACATATACCCTATGTTATGTTGATATGCTGTTTACATGCTGACTTGTATACGTGCGCACACAGCCTGTGACGTAGCAGAGGGGCCACACTGGTGGAATTAGGTGGTGGTCGACTGAACGGACGCTGATCGCCCATCTGAGGAATTTTTCAGAGGCTGGAAAGCCTGAAGTAACCCCTGCTGCAGAGAGTCAGACGGAGAAAGGAGTCGGACAACTGTGTGGCAACATGTATAAAGTTGTTTCCTCTCTCAGAGGCCGGTGTGCAGTTTTAACAGGACAGTCCTGCTCTCGGTCCTCTTCGGCCAAACTCCACTTGGCAAGTGGTGAGTTTTAGCGAACGTTAATTGACATTAGTTGTTGTCTGTTAATGCTGCTTACACAGCCTGAAACTGGGGTGAGTTTAGGTTAGCTTTGATGGTTGGCACTGTAAGGTAACGGACAAACAGTTGTTGTTAAGTTTTAGCCAATAACATTAGTTCTTTCAGTTAGCAAAACCCGACTAAACGTAGCAAATTGCCCAGTGTTAGCCAAAATGAACGAGAGTGAACCCACAAAGCTGCCAAAAGTTAACTACATTAGGTAGGTGAACGTGAACCTAACACTGCTTGTTAATTCCTCAAGTTAATGCAGGTGAATACAACAGTGCAATAAATCCTGCCTTCATGAAGTTTCTAATGTTCACTTTGAACTATTTTAGATTCAACTTTATGTGTGACGTGTGTTTTATTATTCTTTCCACCCCAATTATATCATTGGGTATGCTAAATAACACTAACACCTGTCAGTGAAATGCAATACAGCCGAACCTGTACAGTCAAATCAGAACCTCTCTATCTTATTGCAGGACTGTTGTATTAGACTGCATTAATTTTAACTAGGTGTACCTAATAAAATAATACATGTTAACAGTAGAATCATTGTAGCATTTCCACTGCAATGTCTCTGGTTCATTACTCAAACAAGGCATGTGTTACAGGATGACCTATGAGTAACTACATCAGAAAAGATTGCAGCTGTATATGTCATTGCAAGAAAATAAGGTGATCTTAATGTTGTGGAAATGTCAGCCAGAGTTTACACTGATGAAATACAGACAGTCTGGCTTTGATGAAGTAATAATAGCATTAACACTAATTATTATATGTGTCTGTAGATGATAAGGGGAAAGAAAGATGTGAGTTGAGAGACCTCAACTCAAGAGAGTAAAATTTCAGTGACAGGTTGTTTCACAAATCAGTCCCAAATGTCACATGAAATGTCATTAAAGCTTTGATCAGTAGTAGCCAAGTAATGCAGTCAGCTCATGTGGCTCCTCAAAGAATAAATGTCCTTTACCTCGCTGTTTAAACTTCATTTGCAATTATTTGACAGGTGCATTATGTCAGAAATCAGCCTTCAAACACCCTCATACAGATGTCCCAGATATGCCCCCATGCAATTTCACGCCAGAGGAATACACGGTAAGAAAGAACAATATC